TTCTGCGCAATCGCGCGCCGCAGTGGCAACGACACTCGGCTCAGCTGTGACAGATCTACATACATATATACCTATACGACCACCCTTCGGGTGATAAGGAGGCTGTGGGGGGGGGGAAGGAAAGGAAACAGCATCTGACTCAATCGATATCACTATCGATCATCACGGGACACCACGGGACACCATGGGACACCACGGGTCACTAGTCGATCTCACTATCGGTTTCACTATCGATCTCACTCAACAAAACACCACGGGACACCTCGGGACACCTCGGGACATCACGGGACACCACGGGACACTTGTCAATCTCACTATCGGCCTCACTATCGATCTCACTCAACGGGACACCACTGGACACCACGGGCAGGTCAAGGTCCTGATCCGGGAGGGGTCGCAATCATGACCTTGGCGGAGGTGGCATGACCGTGGCATGGGGCTCAAATCTTGACTGGGAAAGGGCTGCCGGCAATAAGGGGAGTGGGTGGGTCCCGGTCACGATCATGAAGAGGGGAGGGTGGCAACTTAAAGTGGCGTATCAGTCCTGATAGTCTGAGGCTCCATGTGCATGTGCAGCTACACTGAGAGAGGGCCGAACGTGATGACCGCGAGGGAGGTCAAGGTCATGTCTGCTGAGCTATCCACAGGTTGCTGAAAGAACATTTGGGCAGACAAACCAAGCGAGGCTAATTCACTATATGCGGAATTGCACACGCACCCGACAATCAGCATTTGTCGAGTCGCTGGCCCCCAGACCTTCGACTTCTTTCCCAGCGCTGCTTTTCATCCCACTTTCGACTTCACAGGACTGGCTTGTCATCCTGAGTCGTTGTTAGACGGCCCTGGGAACTAGAAGCGGCCCTCGGACACCAAAAATTTGGAGGATCCGTCGGACAATTTGGAGAAGCCAGAGTGCCTATGGACGATGACAATGGCGGAAAAGCGGTGCACCTGCTCAGGGGAAGTCGCCTCTAGAAGATTAGATACGCAGCGAGGTCGGAGGAGGAGGGAGGTGTGGAGGAGGGCAGGAGAGGACGAGGAGGACGACGAGGAAGGGAGGAAGACGAGGAGGAAAGAGGAAGAGAAGGGTAGGGCAGGAGAGGGCTCGGGCTTTCGTTGGGCTCCCTGAACGCCGTCTTGTGGCCCCTTATGGCGTCTTGAGCGCCGTCTCGAATATTGTTGCGCAGAGCAGTGAGGTCGGGAAAGGAGGGGGAGGAGAGGAAGAAGAGGAGGAGGACGAGCAGCAGCAGCAGCAGCAGCAGGACGTACCGCCTTGTTGGAGGCGGCTCAGGATATGGTTGATGGCCTTTTGGAAGGCTCTTGAGGCTTATGGCAGCCGCTCAAAGGCTTCCTGGTGGCCTCAGAGGATACAGTTTGGGCAGCATTGGGGGACTGCCGGAGACCTCTGGGGCTTCTAGGAGGCCGCATGCATCGTCCTGGGGCCATCCTGGGCTAGCTTGCGGTCCCTTGGGGTCGTCTGAGGAGCCCCCCCGCGGCTTTCGTGGAGCTCCCCAGACGCCGTCTTGGGGCCGTTTGGGACGTCTTGTTGTGGCCCCATTGGGCAGTCCTCGGGCTCTCTTGTTCATCTTTGAAGTCGTTGCGAGACCTCTGGGGCCTCCTCGGCGTCCAGATGAATGCGGGCGGCTAGCCGGGGAAGCCCAGGGAAGCCCAGGGCGCCGTCGGACAGGCGCCAGGGGGAGACGTCCGAAAGAGGTCCTGGGATTTTCTGGCGGGGGGGGGGGCATCTGGGGCGGGGGTCCATGCAGGATGTATGATTATAGGAACGCATCAGAACAATATGAATACGAATGTTACTACGAGCACTACTACTACTACTACTACTAATACATATACAAATACTACTCTGCCAACGTGCCTTCAGCACGTGGGTAGTGGAGTGTCCCAAGGCTCATGCAGCCCTGCATCCTTGAGAGGTAGAGGGGTTTTACTGTTCTACAGGTCCCGACCCCCAAATTTCCAGCCACTCCTGGGATGTTCCGGGATTTCCCAGGATTTCCCGGGAGTTCCTGGGAGCTCCCAGGAGCTCCCGAGGGCTCCCAAAGCTCTTCGGCCAGCCTAAGACGATCTCCCGAACTCTCGAGAGCGTCTCAAGAACCGCGTCAAATCGCCAAAGAAGGCCCTAGAGCGGTCCAGGACAGCTTCAAGACGGCCCATTGTGGCCCCCAACGGTCCAAGAGGCCCACAAAACGTCTCAAGAAGGCCCGTCGCTTGCCCTCCTCCTCCCCCCGGCTCCGGGTTCGCCCTGGACCCCTGGTGTCGTTCCCTCCTCTGCCCCCCTGCTGCGGTTGCTCTCCCGGGTCGTCCACCTTGCGGGGGGCAATTTTGGCGAGCCGGGTATGCATGACGAGATTGGCAAGCCTTCCCTGTGCATGGAGCCAGCGACGCCGGAGGCTTCGCATCGCATTTCGCTGTGGTGTCACACCCCCTTTTTGCCAATGCACCTCTGACGTGCACGGCTTCTCTCTCTCTCTCTCTTTCTCTCTCTCAGCATATTCGCCCCTCTTGGGCTTTCAGAACGTCCACGACGGCCAAGGAAGCCCCCAAGATCACCCAAAGACGGGCCAAGAGGCCTCCAAAAGGGCCCCGAGACGGCTCAAGAGGGCCCCAAGACTGCACAAGAGGCGCCCAAGACGGCTCAAGAGGGCCCCAAGAGGGCCCCGAGAGGGCCCCAAGAGGGCCCCGAGCTGAGATTTCGAGCCCTGTGGCCCAAGGGGATCCCCGAGATCGCCAGCAAGCCCCCATTAAGTCCCCAATAGGCCCCAAGAGGCCCAGGAGAGGCCCCAAGAGGCTCCCGAACGGCCCCCCCTGAGGCCCCAAGAGGCTTCAAAACTGCATCCACGAAAAGACTCCCCAGAGGCTTCCCAAGAGACCCTTACAAGCATCAAAGAGGCCATTGACCCACAACCCAAGCACGGTGGCGGGCTGGACAAAAGGCCATTAGATAATGATGATAATATGGTTGCACACACTTTGCAACAGGAGCTGCACGTGCGCATGCATGCATGCATCTGTTGCGTCTGTGTGAGAACTCTGGTCGCTACGGTGCCCGAGACAAGAGTCGGAAATCTGCCGCGGGTTCCCGCCATCCGTTCGACCAGAGGGCGAATCCCTCCAGAGCACGAGCCTTGAGCCTAAGCGGCAACCTGCTGGGAGGAGGGGAGCCGACGAGCAGGAGAAGGAGCGAGGATGAGGAGAAAGAGGAGGAGGCGGAGCATAAGGAGATCCTCCCCGATTCGCCCCCTCATCCAGAGCATGTTCCCCCTTCGCCCCCTCCTCCACGGTAGACTCACACGTCTTCTTGGTGCCAGAGAAGTGGATCATGCCTGCGCGCCAGGGATGCGCCTCTCTCCCGCCGCCGCTGGGGGGGGGAGGGCGACGACAAGGAGAAGGGAGGAGAAGGACTGGGAATGGCTCCAGCTTGACAGCGTCGTCGGGTCAGCTGCTTTACGTGGCACAGTAGGATATTGCAGAACTAGCTGGCACTGGCATCGGTCATGGAGTGGTAGACCTTGGCGTGGGCGACGGTGGAAGCGAACACCGACCTAGACCTGGAGCGAAAATGGGCAAGACTAAGACTTGGGACGAACTTTTCGGACGAAACGGGGTGTCAGGTTGAAACTCACGATGGTAACGGGGACAAGGTTTCTGAGCAAACCTGAGAGTTGTTTTGACGCATAAGTCCGAGGTGCGTTCGGCCAGTAGGCCATGCGGGTAAAGACACTGGCGTTGTTCCCGCGGTGCCCCGCCAGACCTATCCTGGAGACTGATCCGCCGACCCCGGCTTACAGGGGGTGAAAAGGCGTGTGGGATGACTGGCTGTCCCCCTCCACCTTTCCCCTCTCTGGGGGTCCAAAATCCGTTTCTGGGGGGGGGGTTAAAGCTGGTCGGGAGGCCCCACTAGATGCTTCGCCTAATTCGAAGCGTGCGTCCAACCCTGTTGTATCGTATTACCGATAGTGCCACAGGCGGGAGGGAGCAGCGTGAGCGGCGATGATACATCTCAAGAGTAAAGGGTGGAACCTTTTCTGTCTCGATGTAGGTAGCGGGCCGCGGCGCGGCCCGGTCAGATAGGCGGCCGGTCACTGGGCCAAAATGGCCGCGGACAAACGCTCGATACCTCCCACCATGCCCTTCCTTGGGCGGGGAGAAGACGAAGCGTGAGTCCGCTACCGGTCTTACTCAGCAAAACAAATATATTACACAAGAAAGACAGCAGCCAGCGGGCTCAACCTAGGCAGGCTACCCCGCAACATACTAATCCTCTGGCGGCTCAGATGGCATCGTCTGGCCCGCCCTGTAGGGAGTGTGTCCTTTCAAATCGTGCTTGAAGGATTACACTCCTTCCATGACTCGCAGGAGCATGTCTCTGTCGATGCCCCCCGTGGCGTGACTCTCCGCAGTCATATCGCGAGTGCCACAACATTGCACACTGTGCACGAGACCGCGCTCCATCATTTGTCGCATCCGACTAATGTGACCCAAAAGTGCACTTCCAGTCGGCTTCTTCAAGTCTTTGCTTGACAAAGAAGACGGATTCAGCATCAATGATCAAAGTGACCTTAATGCCCAGGCCGCCGATCTCAAGTATACCCTTCCTTTGAGTGGGTGCCAGCGGCGCTGCGTGGAGTTCGTGCAGCGCGTGACAGTCGCGGGATAGCAGCCCTCCAATTCGCGGGCTGCTGCTAGTACTTCAGCTGAGCTGCCCGAGCAAATTCGCAAGCAGTGAGACTTGCAGCCCGCGCCGACAAGATAGGCGACGGGCTTGCCAGCATGCGCACGTCCACGCCTTTGCAGGTTTGCCCCGCGAATACCACGGCCTTCAACTTCGTCATCGGCATCGCCGTTCAGGCGACGGCACCCGGAACCGCCATGCATATCGACCTCGCCCATTGGTGTCATCGTTTTATGGACAATCTCAGGGCAGGCCCGCAGCCCCCTGGTAATCGCATTGAGTCGTCGCACGTTCACGTTGGTTGTTTCTTGGGCACGCTGTAGTCCTATCACATATACCATTAACGATGTTGTGGCATAGGGGCGTAAGCCAGAGCTCCTCTGAGGCTGACAAACGCGTCAGCGACCATCTTCGATGCTTTAGCCTTAGCATCAGCGTCCGTGAGTTCGCGACCCTGGATAGGACGGAGCTGTTTATATATATATATATATATATATATACATATATATATATATATATATGTACGCGCATTGGTCAAGAGTCATACTGCTGCCGCTGTCCTTTGCATACCTCACTGCAAAGTTGGCATATGTGTGTCTGTTGAGTCTACATTTCCCGCAGGTATCCTCAACAGACTTGACCCACTTGTCAATGGTGCCCTCGGTGCTGGCCATGTTTATATCATTAACATGTCTGGCAGCATGAACGTCGGGGATCGTCTCGAACTCCTCGTCGGTAGACGCGGGCCTGAGTCCAAAGCCTCGCGTGGTCTTCCTGGGCTCGAGTGAAAAGGCGCTTGCATCTTTGGTGCCAGTGCCTGGTCTAGGGCACTGTAGACAGCGTCTTGACTCTTCATAGTGCTCAGATCCCGGACGAGTTCTGAGCACTGATGTTGAACTGAGCGGCAACGCGACGCGCGCAACACGTTCCTTTCAACCGGTCGCTTCAGCGAGCTCTTGACACGCAAGACCCTCCAAGAAAGCCACGTTGATGTCAAGGAGAGCAATGATCCACTGCTTCCTGCACGCTCTCGCGATGGCAAGTAATCGCCAGTTTGACCGCCGCGCCGTTCCTGGGGACGCTTCTACATCGACCGCTTCGACGTCCATGAAGCCCCGAAGTACCAGGCGCAACCTGATGGTGCGACCCATCTCGCCGTTTTCGTTCTCGACGAGTTCCCACGTGCACGCGCATCTCGAAGTCATGATGTTTGGCGCGTTGGATATGTATTGTATCTAGAAACTCTCATTGTCAAGCCATGTCTTGAGTTCAGTAAATAGGGCTTTCGAGACCTTGACTGGGTTCGCCTGAATGTCTGCCATCGTGAGAAGGTCGCCCTCCTTGACGTCTACAGCTCGTTTGGCTGCAGCGGTCACATATATTCGCATCGTAGTGACACGGTCGAAATCAAACCTCCTACGTTGTTGTTCGGATAGGACTATCTTCGCCACTTCTGCGGTAAAGCACAGCTCTATATATGGCCCGTACTCCTCTGAGTCCAATCAGTATCATCTTCGCCCGTGGAACACCACGGGACATGAAATGTCTCAGTTGTGTAAATGTTCCCTGGTGTACCCCACGTCGGCAAGTGCCCTTGCTGTTCTATCTACTGTGACCAGAACACTGTTATCAGAAATCATCTGCGTGGGTACAGTGTAGAGTTCTTCTACTGGAGTAGCCCCTAGCAGCTCCCTTTCGCCCTGTAATTCCGAATACTTCCATAATGTGCGCCTCGAGGTCCGCCTCCGATTCCTCGTAGATTGCGGGGAGCCGGCCGTCTTCCCGTGGCGGTTCGGTTTCTGGGCCCCTCCTGGCATTGCTGCCTTGCGTGGGCACGTCTGCCAATTCATCGAACTTCGCCATGTCTTGAACGAAGCCCGCATGAGGTTTGGTGGACTTCAGGCACTGGATAACTCTAGGAAGCACTGATCCAGTTACGCCTTGAATGTTTAGGACAGCGCCTTCAACTTCACAAAAATGAAAAACTGAGTTCGCGTCATTGCGCACAAGCGCGCAACTGTCAGCATACGTTACCAGGTGGTAACTGATGAGCGCCCGTAGCTCACCCAACAGAAACAACGCTTTCGATACGGAAGAAGATTCTGGTGAGATACTGGAGCGCTCAGTGTACCACTGGAGATAAACGGCCCGCCCTCGTCATTTGAAATACCCCCTTTTTGTCGGGTGATAACCGAAGGTCACTGCAGGTGGCCCCGCAGGTAGACTGGCTACGAATGCCAACACAATCCGCAACGCTGTGTTGTCCGAGCCAATCACTCGAGTGATCAGAGCTTCAAGATACAGCGAGTGTCCTGCATCACCGCACTGGACTGGCACATCACGGTTCCCGACTCGCACGAGAACTTGACCCCTGCAAGGATCGTTCCGCACGACCAGGAAAGGCCCATTCCAGCCACCCCCGTCGTCTTTCGTAGTTGCGGGGCGTTGGTAGTCAACTAGATCACCTTCGCTGTAATGAAGCTGACCAGCGAAGGTCGTCTTAGTCCGTAGTGCACGGATTGTCTTTGCTATTGCGGTGGCTTGTGTAATAACCTCAATGCTTACCTGGCGGATAGTCTGTTCTCGAGTATGATCGGATGTATCCGCCTGTTGCTCGTGATGTAGAACAGGCAAGCCAGGTAGCATTGCTCGTTGTGGGCCTAACAGTGCCTGATATGGAACCTCATTGGAAAATTAGCCTGGCGAAGGACCCAACCATATGCAGTTGTGAATGCCGCCCTATGGAACCACGAAACGTGCGAGGGGTGTGCCAGAATGGGGGGGTGGAACCGCATGCGGGCGCAGCCACTGGGGCCTTCGGTGGAGCTCCCTATGGGGCCACGAAACGTGCGAGGGGTGTGCCAGAATGGGGGGGTGGAACCGCATGCGGGCGCAGCCACTGGGGCCTTCGGTGGAGCTCCCTACGGGGCCGCGAAACGTGTGAGGGGTGTGCCAGAATGGGGGGTGGAACCGCATGCGGGCGCAGCCACTGGGGCCTTCGGGGGAGCTCCCTACGAGGCCACGAAACGTGCGAGGGGCGTGCCAGAATGGGCGTGGGAGGGGGAGGAGGGGGGAAGGGGAGGAGGAGGAAGGAGGAGGAGGAACGCGGGGCAACGTCTCTTCAAAACGAGGACCCAACACCACAGAATGGTTGGGAAATAAACGCCTCGGTGACAAACAAAGCCTCGTGCCATAGCCGGGCGAAACCAGGCTGCATGTCTAGCCTACTGAGTTTCAGCATCCACGGCGTGAAGTAGGCGTCTCAATACGCAACGTTTGGTTTCAATGGTAGTAGCACGTTGTCCACGCGCGCGCTCGGCGCCTTCTGCCTGGAGGACTGCCTTTGCGATGTCATCATTGAGAGCGCCCTCTCCGTCAGAGCATAATACTTTGGCAGGTCCAATTTCCCTCCAGCACTGATGGCACGCACCTAGGATGCTGATCATTGTTTGGCAGGTATCTCGATTCCAGCACCGAATCGAATGTAACGATCGACAATGTGAAATACCTTATGCTCCTGTCTGTAGAGCATTAATTAAATCGCATTCGACTTTACCAATAAATTTGCCAGGTAGCGCGGTAAGCGACACCAGTCTGCCCAGGCTTTTCCCAAGCCCTGCACTCCCGGCATGTATCACAGACGCCGCTCATCATGCCTAGCCTGACACGATCCAGACCAGCCTTGGTTAAGACGAGTCTCACCTCAGGCTCCTCGGCGTGGAACCATAGCAGATGTGGATGTCGCAGCTCGCGCGTTACCACGTTTGGGTCAAGGCCGCGCAGGTTCTGCAGTCTGATGCGCACGTCAAACCTGGACCAGTCTGGAAGCCTTGGACGAGCAGCAGGATCACCCGCGGGCGGCGGCGAAGGCGGATCACCTCCCCGTTGTCGCCCACGCATGGCTACTACTTGTGGGAGTCGCCTGTGCTCGCCCGAGCTGCCGGCGCCACTTGGCTCTGCAGCATGTCTGCCTACGTAATATCGCGGCTGCTGGCGCCTGCAGTCGGCCCAGCTCTGAAGCCCGGCTTCGGATCACGTAGCCGCGCAATTTGTTTGGCGGCTGGTGCCTCAGAAGCAGCTGCCGCCACTGGCGGCGGTGCGTCGGAAGCAGCTGCCGCCGCAAGATGGGGCCGTTGGTTCAGCTGGGGCTGGAGGCCCCTGCCCGCGATTATCAATCAACTCCCACAGTTCGGCAAATTTACATTCGCCAAGTGTAGGTAGGTGGCCAGGCTTAGCCTTCCCATGGTTCTTTCGGTAGTTTGGACAGGCCCAGGAATACTCTTCTTTGTCGTACCACCTACAGTGTGCGATGGGCAGCGCACGTTGACGTCGCCAGCACATGGAGGGCACCGCCACCCGCTCGATGGCGGCCGTACGATACGTCCGTCAGGATGTCGAAGGACCGCCAGGTCATTCAAATCGAACGCGCGTGCATTCGTGACAAGAACGGGCGACGCATGAGGATGACCATGACATGGATCGCGGTTAACCGCGAACACGTCATGTGCAACTGCCTCAACGAAGAGGGATATCGCCTTCGGAGTACACTGTGCTGCCTTGACCCATTTCTTGTTGCAAACTGAGGCATGTTGGCGGTGGTCAGTACACCCTTCGTTGTCAAAGGGTGTCAGTAACGAACGGTGGTTTGCCATTGTTTCAAAATGTCTGCCTGTCAATATGCCATGGGAGTCACGAAAGCCTGCAAAGCATTAGTCTACGCGGATCCTGCGAACGCCCTCGCACTTGGCTAGAATCATCCATGGCGGTATTTCATCCACCCAAGTAACCACGGTGTCTTCTCGTAAATCGGATCGTCAGAGATCGCCTTTACGCTCGGCGACCCCCCCACAGAACTTGATGCGTGGGAGGTCTTCCTTGGGGTGTTCATAGCACGCGTCGCAGTTGACCTCTACACTGAAGTAGGAGGTTAGCCCGGTCGTTCTGCAGTTAGGTTGTAAGATTACCTGCACAAAACATACATCCGAGCAAGGCATTACTGCATCCTGGGCTCCCTTGGAAGACATAGGAACGTTTCTCGAGGCTACCCCCCGAGGATAAACCTCGGCGAAGCGCGAATTCTGATAATCACCCGCTACCGCCCCCATAATTCCAGCACGTCTACCTCGCTGTTTTGTCCGCAGCAACAGAATGGGATCATGGCCAACACATCGGCACGCGCGTCCGCAGGCAGCCCCTCCGGTCGCGCCCCGAAGGCCCCCTCATCTCCATCACTGTCGGAGCCCAGAGGAACATCAGTGCAGCACGCTCCACGTCCAAAGCCCTTCCGGTTCTCGCAGCAATTGCCATTACCGTCTTCGACCTGTTTTGGTATCTTGCGCGGTTCGATGCCGGCTTCATTGTCATATATCTTATTGTCTCTCTGTTTTATCCGGACATCAGCAGGCAGTGCTCTGTTGGTCCTCACTGTCGGGCATAGCAAGTGTCGGAAATTCTGGAGCAGGGGGCAGCGCGCGGAAAACGCTCAATCGAGGGGGGGAGAACACGATCGTCACCTACGATCGCAACCCGCCTCGGGCGCGGTCGCTGCCCCTCATTACAGAGCAAAACTGGGGCCGGAGGCCCCCAGTACAGTCGAGTACTGATGTTGGTCACTCCACTCGGCAATGGAGCTATCCAGTTGCATCCGATAGGTTGACCCTGAGCCTCGATATCCTGCACGATAACATGGTCGCCAAGGTTCGCCGTTACCCGGCGCACCACATTACCCCATTGAGTGCCATTCTTGGGAGACTGGACTCAAGTCCTAGCTCCTTTGTCTAGTCGAGCGCGCACGCTGAAATTTACTACACTTGCTTAATTTCTGTGTCTTATGCGCATCGCTCTGGTCAATGAGTCGCGCAGTCATGATAGCGATCTCTTTGTCCCGCCACTCCGCCCTCTGAGCGCCTCGGCCGCGCCCATCGAATTCATGTTCTACTCTTTCGGCAGGTCGCCCCGCAACTCGGCACGTGCATTTCCATAGGCCACCTGGAATGCGCGCGCACGTCGCCGCCACCTGCAAGCACGACCCACTCGGCAAACGACTCGAGCGATCGAACCTACGACCAGCATCGAATTCGCATGACCTGCAGACCGCAGTCTTCGATAGCATCGCGCACGGGCCCCAGCTTCCAAAAATAACCTGGGGGCCCATAAGCACGATAGACATGCGCAAGGCCCGAGCTTTGACCAGAAGATTCTGGATGCACCGAGAGCGTGGCCCCGCCCGCTTGCCAGGCACTTGCACATACCAATCAGCGGGCGTGGGCCACCCAAAGCAGTTGATAGCCCCCCGATAGTTGACTACCCAAGTATTGCGTACCCGTGGAGGTCAAGACCTTTGCGCGCGCGATGCGAATGCACATGTATCCACGGGCTCAGAGTTCAGCGCAAGCTGATCGGAGATTCTCTATGAAAAACACGTGAATGAGATTGATGATGAGAGCGGCCGCACACCCCGGCCCGCTGCCGCCCTGGGCGCACAGCCGGCGCCGGGGAAAAGGAAGCAGGTGTCCCCGCGCCTGCAGACAGTACCTCAAGCGTCGGCCTGTCCAGGAAAGCGCGCGCGGCACCAGGTGAAATCGGCGACGCGCTGCTCGGAATGCAGATATCAAATCTCTCGGCAGCGCCGCTCGACGCAGCAGGTTGCCCCGCGGAAGCAGGCTGCCCCGCACGGCTGCCAGGTGGCATCCACGTGGTGCCCTCGTCGTCAATGGCCTGGTAAACCTTCGCCTGCAAGGCCCTCGCGGCGAAGTCCCGGTCCATGACCGTAGGCTTACTGCCCGGTATTCCTACGCCACCAAGTCTTCAGGGCGTTGTCTACCACAGCCTGGATTGCGAATACAAATGTATCCACATTGATGCCGTGGCTAATGCACCTGTAGTTCTGAGACATCATAAACGCATGGGCATCCACAAGAGCAGGTACCCCCGTGCTGCTTGCAGCAGATGGCCCCGCAATAGGCTCTGCATCTACAGTCTCTTTGATGACGTGCCGCAAGGATGTTCCCTCGCATCTTGGATTGGCCGCGATGGTAAATGCTCTAGCTCCATCGGTCTCCGTTGCCACGTCGTATTCGTCAGCCTTGATCGCTAGGTGCCCTGATGGTGTTTTTACCAAGTCGATCACCCTAGCGCCCATTCCAAGAAGGAGCCCATACGCATCAGAGCCTGGGATAACCATCTCGTCGCTGCCGCACTCAAGGATTAGGATGGCTCGCACGTTTGCCATGCTCCTCAGGCCCAAGACTGCGGGCAAGTTCTCGCCGGACCCCTCGGCCACGTTGGCTGAATCGGTGTCCAGCCTGGCAATAGCACGTTGCCCCGCAGGGTTGCCCCTATATGTGCAGGCAATTCTGCAGTGCCCTGACATCCTGCACACTGCGGCTCCAGCGCCCACTCCGGTCCCGTACAATGATCTGCTCAAGTTCAATCTCTTCACGTCGTGACCGCGGGCGCGCGAAACCCGCTCAAATGCCTGAGCAGTTTTCAGACCAAGTGTCAAGCTGGAGCGTCACCCAGTACCGAACGACGCTCAGGCGTGCAACCGGCCAGGAGTGGGCACCCCCCGGTGGGTTCTCGGCGGCGCTGGTCTCTGCTTCTCCCCGGACGAATGGCATCTGCAGTGCTTGGCCAGCAGTCCACTGCACGGGGGCAGAGCGAGGGCAGAGGGCGGGGATGCAGGGCGGGGCGACTAGAGAAAGGTCGAGCCCACGTCGCGAATGCGGAGGGAGGGAGGCGCGCAGGTCGAGGAGCGCAGGACACGCGCACGACCGAGGGGGAGCCGGAGGCAGGGAGGGAGGGAGCGGGGAGCGGGGAGGAGGGAGCGCGGAGCAGGAATGAGGGCGAAGGGCGGCAGCGGCGACGGCGACGGCGACGACGACGACGACGATGACGACGGCGGCGGTGGCAGCGGTGGCGGCGGCGGCGGCGAAAGTGCACGGGGAGGAGCGCGCGCGCGCAGGGCGGCGGCGTGGGGCGCTTGCCAGACCCCACGCGTGGCATCTTGGCGACGCCCTGGAGCTCCGTCATGTGCGCCTGAGGGCGACGTCGACGAGGACGACCCCTTCTTCACCGGCTGACAGGAGTCAGTCAGTCTCGGTCAATCTTCGCACACGTCTCAGTCGCGACTCGAAATCGAGCGTTCCAGGGGCGCTCAAACTCGACAATACGCGAAAACGAAGACGACGACGAAGAGGACGAGGGGGAGAAGGTATATCGGCGGTGGACAAACCTCCCTTGAATAAACACCCTTAAGTGAAAACGGCCTGGGACCGAAACCGACGGACCTGGACCCGCCAAAGCGACGGCCGCGACGCCCTCTCGCGAACCGAAAACGGCCAATTCGCTAATCGACGTGTCAGGGTAGAGTAGGAGTTCCATCAACCTCCGAGTAGAAAGCAAGGACGAGCTGGAGGAGGAGAGAGGGGCAGCAGAGAACGGGGGGCACGACGACCTGCGCCGACGTGGCTCTCGGCATGAGCGGTAACTGCCGAGGGGCGCCGCCGGGCTCGAGCTCGAAGGCGGCCGCGGTGCACCGCTGCCGTCCCGCTCCGTTGAAGGGGCCCTGGGACACACAAATAAATCCACACAAATAACAGGATTCCCCATATTTTGCTGTGTTTTCGAGGTTTTCGTCTTCCCCCCCACTTCCCACATTTTCCCATATTTTCTGGGGAAGCGAAGATAAATTGTGTCTGTGTGCTTTCTCCTCTCCTGCTCCGTGGCCGCAGCGACGGGTCGGGGAAAAATGTCCGAGGGCGCCGGCGGCGTGGCAGGCAGGCCGCGCGGCGTCCCCTGGCGCTGGAGCAGGAGGAGGAGGAGGAGGAGGAGGACGAGGAGGAGGAGGAGGAGGAGGAGGAGGACGAGGAGGAGGAGGAGGAGGAGGAGGAGGAGGAGGACGAGGAGGAGGACGACGACGAGGAGGAGGAGGAGGACGACGAGGAGGAGGACGAGGAGGAGGAGGAGGAGGAGGAGGGAGAGGCGGAGCTCTTCGCTGCCGTGGCGGCCAGCCGGCGGGTGCGCTGGCGGAGGTCCGGGCGGATGTCCTGCGACAGGTCTCGCGGCGTGGCCGAGCGTGCTGCTGCCGCGGGCCGCTGCGCAGGGACCAGTGGTGCCGGAGTGCGGTCGGAAACTTTGAAATAGCATGCCGCGGATGCGTCCCCGGGGACACGCTATGCCTTGCAAGCAGATAGCCTGTCGCTCCGCTCCGCGGGGCAAGAGGCTCGAAAAACCTCGGGGCGCTAACGCTTGGGAATGGGGGGGAGGAGAATCCCACCAGCCCTTTGAGCGACAGGTGGTCTAACGAGATTCCCCTTCCATCTTCCAAAAAAATCCCTCTTCCCCTACGGGGAGGGTTTTACCCCTCCCCTGGACTTTTTCGGGCCCCCCCGCGAGGTGTCAGGGCGTCCAAAACGGCCTCGGCGAGGAAGCCAAAATCATCAGTTCTACCAAGGTTTTGGCTCCATTTTTGGCCTCTTTGGGGGGTGGCTGAAAAATTGTCCACCAGCCCTCTGGGCACCAAAATCATTGGTTTCAATATGGTTTGGGCCCCATTTTGGCCTCTTTGGGGAGGGGCTCAAAGTTATACCATCTCCTCCTTTGATCGATGGCCTTCAAGATGGCCCCAAGAGGCCTTCCAGGGCTCCCAAGACGGCCCCAAGACAGCCCCAAGAGGGCCCCAAGAGGGCCCCCAGAGGCCTCCAAGACGCCCACGATGGCCTCCAAGATGACTAAGATGGCCCCAAGATGCCTCCAAGACGGCCCAAAATGCACCCGAGACGGCCTGAGATGGCCTCCAGATGACCTAAGACGGCCCAAGAAGCCTCCAACAGGCCTCCAAGACGGCCCAAGAGGCCTCCAAGAGGTCCTCCAGGAACGCCCGAAGAGGCGAAAATCACTGATTTTCCTTAAATCTTTGAAGGATTTTGGCATTTGCGCCTTTCCGGCATTCCGACGGCTCAAGACGGCCCAAGAGGCCCCCAAGATCGCCCACGAGGCCTCCAAGATGGCCCCATGACGGCTGGTGCGGCGGTGGGGCGGGAGGGGAGAGGACGGAGAGAAAGTGAAAGAGGAAGGGGGCCCCCTCCCTCGCCGCCTCATCCTACTCTTCCCCCGCCACTCCTACTCCTCATCCTCATCATCATCCTCATCCTCCTCGCTCCCCTCCTCCCTCCCCCTCCTCCTCCCCCACTTCTGCTCCTCCTGCACCAACTCTCAGCCCTTGCCCTCTTGAAAGCGTGGCAGCGAGAGAAAGCGGCGGCGGAGCACGCCTCCGTGCGCTCGCAGACGTACGCCGGGGTCATCAGCTCGCGGGGGCGGCGCGCGGGGGTGAATCGGACGAAAGGGGGGGATAGGGAAAAAGGGGCGGTAAGGCTTCGAGCTGCTCACAGACAGCCCCCCCGAGTAGTCCCAGCTGGCCCAGCAGGCCCCTGGAGTAATCCCGGCCGGTCTCAACACCCTGGTGCTGCCTCCAGCGGTGCCTCATCAAGCGCTGCGCGCCCCAGGGTTGAGGTGCTGAAACCGCCCTGGACTTCTCTGGCGGCCTGTTGAGGCCAGCCGTGAGTACCTGAGGGCGGGGCTGTCTGTGCGCAGCCCCGGGCCTTCCCAGAGGGGGGATCCGCCGTCGGGCGTTTTTCTCGATACATCGGCGCCTCCGGCCCCGGGCAGCGCTGGAGGAATCGGCTGCGTGAGTTGATTCTCCAACACCCTATTCACTACCCTTTCCCCTTCCCGTCCGACCCAAGTGTGGCAGCGCCGGGCGGGGAGAACACCACCGGGAGCCGTCAACGTCCACAGCTCCCAAATCGAAATGGCTGTGCGAAAAAACCCGGAATCAAAAAACACCAAAAAACGGCGGGTAACACCCAAAAAAAACGAAATATGCTGAGGCGCCACCCTTGAGAGGTTGAACTGCATGAAAATCAAATAGTTCTGCTCGCGGCAACGTGAACGCACGGAACCGACAACTACCGAACCGCGAGTAGGCGTTAGCGCTGAGTATGGACACGGACGCGGTCTCGCCGTCGAGGGGTTATCCGTATCCGCCATTCCTCGGGGGGGGCCGAATCTTCGGGGCACTGTTCCAGGGCGGTGGACGTGGACGTATTCCGGCGGTGAAAGAGGCTCCGCTGTCGATTCAAACTCTGGTCGCGCAACCCCCCTGCACATGCAGTTCGCAATTCCCTCTGTTCGTTCGAACCCAATACTTGCAGGCCGGGTGCTTCTTAGAGGCTCAAGGTCCGACTCACACCTGGGCGAGGGGCGGCGGAGAGGTGGCGACAGCCACTGCAAAAACAAAAAAAAAAAAAAAAAAAAAACGACAACAAAATATAAGAAGCCACCAGGAGCGGTCGCGAAGTGCGATCGCGGCGGCCAACACATCTCGAGCACAAATCCAATGTCAAGCGGACGAGAAAAAAGGCCGCCAATATCTGGCCCACACCACCGCTCGACTGGCGAAAGCGCCCGGCTGTCGGAGGCACTCGGGCCCGGGCGGGAGGGCCACGCAGCGCGCCCAGAAGCCGCCATTGGGATCACGGGCTCACCGAAGGCAAGAACGATTAAACAGTAGCTGGCCGAAAGTGTCGAGACTCCTCGAAACTGTTGGCATCCATCAAGTGACTTCGACGTCGAGTGGGAATCGACGTCGCGCTCACTCTCTGGTCTGCAGCGGGCGGGCGTCCTTCTTCCCCATCAGCCCGGCGCCCCGCTCGATCACGTCGGGCGGCAGCGCGGCGCGAGCGGCCACCAGAGTGCGGGTCTTCATGTACCTGAACACGCTCTTCTCCGACGCCCGTCGCCCGCTCCGCTGCATGGCCCGCGCCGTCCTGCAGCTGGTCGCCACATCGCGGCTGGGCCCAAAGTGCCCGGCGGCGCGCGGCGGGAAGCGCTCGACGCCGACGTCGTCGCAGGCCCGCCCCAGGGCGCGGCGGCAGGCGTCCACCGAGCAGGCGAAGACCCCGCCCACACCGAGCAGGCCCTCTCGGCCTTCCTCCGCACGAACACGTCGGCAACGTGCGCGCGGTCGATCAGCGCGCCCTGCCTCATGTCAGTCTTCGCCCGCTCGCCGAGCTCGGCCACTCCGAGCCGTGGGGCCGCAACCTGCTCGCCCGTCGAGTCGACGTCAATCACGACGTCGACTCGGCAGCTCGAAGGCCGAACAGCTCCGCGGACCTGAGGTAGGCGTCGAGAGCGACCTCGGCGGCATCGGCGGCCTCCTCGTTCGCGGCCAACCTCGTGGCCTCGTCCAGCACGGCCCACAACTTGACCAATTGAGGCCCACCTTCTCCTGCCACATGCAGTCGGCGCCAGGCACGTAGAGCAGGATTCGACCTCGGCAGTTCCGTCGTCAGCTTCGGCCATACGCAGGCGAGCCCGCGCACCACGAAGTCGCCCCGTTTCGGGCCCACCTCCTCGTCCTCGACCAAGCAGCCCAAGTAGCAAAGGACCGAGTCGTAAATCTCCTCCCGGCTCATCGTCGGCAGGCCCCACTCCAAGGCGAAGTCCACGAAACGGCGTGCGTCGGGCACGCAGCAACCCAGCGCCGTCTTGGTGGAGACCGAGAAGGGTAGCAGAGCGAGCCCCCGAGTTGGCCCCTCCTGCCGCGAAAACCCCAAGGAGTGCAAACGCTCCGACTCGTTCCTTCGGCACACGTTGCCCATCATGCGGTGCCGAGCGCGGCGCCGAAGACTCCCCTTTGCCACCGCGCCTGCCTGCATCGACAACACCATCCAGATCACGAGCACCCGCCAGACCGAGCACGCACGCAACGAGCAGGCCCCCCCGACGCGGCCGGCCTCCCACTGCTACGATCGGCGGGCACAACCCGAAGTGGTCTCCAGCCACCGAGACACGAAACCGACGAAGAGGCAGTACTCGTCCGACCAGCACTGGACACGGACCTCATTCTGCATGTGCCCGAGCCCTCTTCGAGGGCCCCTCCGGCCCCCGAGGGGCGGTTTGCTCGATCACCCTGCAGCTTCAAAGAACGATGCCGGTAGAACCTCCAACGAGGACGAGCCCCGGCGCCCGCGCTCCAGGGTATCCGAGTTCAGCTGCCCCACCGCCCTCTCGGTCAGGTCGGTGTCCCGTCTCTCCTGCGCGGCCAGCATCGCACCCGCGTGGCACTCCGCCAGCACGCGGCAGAACTCCGACGGGCACGCCCGCGACACTCCCGTCCGAAAGCGGCCGCGCGCACCCTGGCCGCAGAGGCTCGCGCCGCGCCGCGAGCGCTCGCAGGGGCGCTCAAACCGCTGCATCGCACAGGCCGCCCCCGTGGGCGCCGTCATCTCGAACGCTAGACAGCCCCACATGCACGGCGAGAAGGGCACCCGATGGGCACCAACCTCGGCCTCCCAGCCCCTCAGCTCCTGCGGGATGAAGATCGACGGGAAAGCGGGCAGCAGGCGGGATGCTCGAAAGAGACGGAGCCACCCTTGAGGGCGATGGACTTCAGAACTTTCTCGCGTCGCCCCCCCGCAGGCCCGGTCGACCCCAACGCTGATGTCGCAGGCGAAGCGGCGGGGGGCCTCCAGGCTAGCACCGCACCCACGACCAGGTAGAGCAAGAAGGACCAGAGTCTCCGCCGTCGGTCTCCATCTCCGCCAGCAGCTCCAGCCCCCTCACGTTGACCTCGTCCGCCAGGTTGAACTCCGCACCGAAGACGATATCCACGTTGGCGCAGAGCATGGGGTAGCCCCTCGACGCCGCGACCCTGAGCAGCCAGCCCCCCAGGCCCCCCGCTCGCGCATGCCCGCTGCAGAGGTGGGCGAAGCGCAGCACCTTCGCAGGGACCGAGACACCAATCCCGAGCGGCCGGAATGAATCCAACCCTGTAACGCCCGCCAGCGCCTCGATCTTCAGCGCCACCTCCTCCGGCAGCACCTGCTCGTTCGTCCCACGCTCCTCCGGGGCCAGGCCGATGGGCAAGCCCCTGCTCGACCCGTCGCCGCGGTCGCGATCGGACGGCGCCCAACGCCAGCACTCGCGCATGCCGCGGCCGAGGTCGAGAGCCGCCATCCTGCGGCAGAGGGTCAGAATCGGCCGACTCGCGGACCTGCCCTTGCTGGAGCCACCGAGGCAGACCATCGAGTCCGTGATCCGCTGGTGCCTGTTCTATCAGCTCGCACGACTGCGAGCCGAATGCCTCGCCGCTGCAACGCCCGCGCGCATCTCGAGCAAGTTGATGCGCCCCTTCTCCTCCCAGCGTCGGCGCACCACCTCCCTCCACTGGGTGATGTCGCCCCAGCACTCCTGCACAGGCGGCGCTCGCACGCGCGCGCCCAACTCAACGTCGTCGCCCACGCGCCCGAAAGCCTCACCCTCGCACCAGGAGTCCGCAATCCACGAGGGGGAGCTTCCAGTCCACACCGTCCGACCTCCTCGCACAGCGCACCGGGCTTCTCGACGCCGCTCCTCCACCGTGCTCGAGGCGGCGACGATGGCCCCACCGTACAGACTGGCATCGAACATCATCACAGCGGGGCCCCAGGGCGTCGCCAGAACGACCGCGATCAGGGGGGCGATGGCCGCCGCTACCGCCAACTCTCTCAGCACCTCCAGCGGCACCTCGCGCCTGGGCCCATCACGAAACACCACGCGCCACGAGTGGACCACCGAGACACTCAGCGCCCCCCTGCAGACCAAGAACCAAGGACAGGATGCCCACGATCTGCGCAACCGAATCGGACAACTCCAGCTCGCTGGTCAGGATCAACTGGATGCCGAGGACCGCGAGCCACATATTGTCCTGGTTCGGGGCCAGCCGAGCCCCCTCGAAGTCGCCCCAAACCACGCGAGCTGCCGAGGAACACGCATCCTTGCGCACCTTGAAGCCCGCAGCCATCACCAGCTCCTTGGCCCCCAGCCAGATGTCCTCCACCGTCGCCTCTGACTCGGCGCAGCTGGGTAGTCCAGCCCGACGTTGCCGAAGTCGCCCATGTACTCGTAGTGAGCCGCTGGCACCTCCCGACTGACCTGGGGCAACGGCCCTTCTTCGGCGAGACGCTGACCCTCCGACAGCGACGGCAACCAAGCCTGCGGCCCCGCGTTGAAGATGCCCTCCTCCGTCGTCTGAGCCACCCAGCACGCCCACGAGAGCCCCACGAGCGCCACCTTCACCCCGACCTAGGCGCGGCCCCCATGCAGCCGCGAGCCATCGGGCAGCACCGAGTCCAGCCCGCCCCTTGAAACCCCAGGCGACACGAAAAAGGGCGCGATTTCATCCCCCAGCTCCAGCGCGCAATAGAAGTCGGGCAGGTCGCCCGCGCCAAATCGAACGGCCCACATCCTCCAACGTCCAAGAACG